TATCTAAGAGCATTTTACATGATAATACATATTTTAAATACTTTAGCAAAAATCTATAGTTAAACTTGATATATAATTAGTGAAAAATAAAAATGTGTCAATTATTATAAAACTTAGGAGATAATGAATAACTTAAATAATTGTACTTAGTTTTGGGTGAAAATTTTAGCGTCCAATGGCTAGAGACTTAATTAAAGTTGATTTCATACTTCGGCCCTGTTCACTTCACCTTAAGAAAAAAATATTTAGTAAAAATAATTTTAGTTCAGTAGAAACAAATTAAGTCCACTAACTTTAAAGAATAATATGATAGAAAATCAGTAAAAAAAAAAAAAATTACAGTTCAGCAAAAATTATTTCAGTTCAATAAAATTAATTTCAGTTCAATAAAAATAATTTAAGTTCAGTCAAAATAATTTCAGTTAAGTAAAAGTAATTTCAATTCAGCAAATATAAGGTGAAGCGAATGGGGTCTTCCTCTCGCAAATCTCAACTATTGTTGATTGAGACAATTCCAAATAGAAATAATCAGAGTATATAGTCACCGATTGAAACCAAGCCGATATTTGTTGAGCCCTACACCCTAGTGTAGGGTCTTCTACCTACACCCCCATACAAAACGGTACCATTTAGCATAGCTTCCACTAACTCCTCACTTTCAATATACTTACTCAATTGTTACACTAACAATCCATACCCTACATAATAAAAAATAAAATATAAAATAAAATCTGAACCACCTTTCAAATTCTCTCTCTTCATCCTTTTCATTTTATTTCCCCACTTTCTCTCTCATCAAAATGTTCAATATTTGCAAATAAATTCCAGTAAAATGTTAAAATTCTCTATAATAATCAAGAACCATATTTAATATATGAGAATAATTTGCACAATCGCTGGAAAAATCACCAAAATAAAGTCGAAAATCAAAATTGTAAGTGTTTTTTTTTTGTTGATTTTGAAATAAAAAAAAACCAATATAATCCTAGTTTTTTACATTTTTTTTTTTGTTTTTTGTTTTTTTTAAACAATCCTAGTTTTTTACTTGCAATTGTTTTTTCATGAAAATAAAAGAAACATCAAGCTTAGAAAATGTATCAACGTAAGTATATATGATAATATAATTTTACTAATTTTTGTTTTTTTTTAAAAAAAAAAAAACTAGTTAATTTGTGGTGCGTTATTATTTATAATATTGTTGGACACAAAAAATTAAAAACAGAGTTTGATTGTCGCAATTTTGTGGATAGTTTACTCTATTTCGTATGAATAGAGATTTGTAAATTTAGTTCGTAGCAGAAAGTTCTGTTTTATTAATGTTCATTTTCAATTTGGTAAATGTTCATTTATATATTAGTATGATGTTATTCACATATTAATTGATTATTAATATAAATGTTCAGTTATATATTAGTACATGATCATTCACATATTAATGTTTGTTCTTTTCAAATTTTGATTCTTTTGACAAAAGTTCATTTTTATATTGGTAAATGTTCAATCATATAATAGTATATGTTCATATACATATTAAGATACATTATTAGAATTTTGGTATGATAAACATATTTTTGTATCTATAACAAATATTTTTTACTAATTTAATAAGGAATTTTCAATAAGAGTGTGCGATTTCTTATAATTGTCGTGCAAGTGATTCTTACAATTACAATTGAGTTATATGAATTTGTGCTGTGCTCTTATATTATTAGAATGTTCTAGATTTGAAATGTAAATGGTAAATTATTAATAGATATTCATTCTCATTATCATTTAATATTAATATATATTCATTCACATATTATATTAATAAATGATTATTCAATTAAAATATGTTCATTCAGATTTTAAATAATATATATTCATTCATATATTGAATTACACTTATTGGATTTTTCACTTACACATTACAAAAGAAATAAATAAATAAATAAAAAATAATAAAAATATCATTTAAGTTTAAAATTTCATGGTCATTTGCAATATAATATATGTTCATTTATATATTAATAGATGATCATTTCTATATTGAATTACTTTAATCATCATGTTGATTGTCAAACTTATCCATGTTCATTTTACACATGAAAATTGGTTCATTTCAACACTAATTCTTGTTTAAGTCCGATATATAGCTTATTTATTCTATCTATTAGGTAAGAAATAAATTGTGGATATCATGAGTTAGACCTCACAATAGCAAGAAAAAACTGAAGACGACAAACAGAGGAAAATCAAGAACGCATGGAGTCGCCAACCAATAACATGCATGAGCTTTAATTTTTCGAATTTGGATCAAGAAGCTTATCGTGTTTGATATTATGTGCGGAGTGATATTGTATATTTTGATATTCAATATTTCAATTTTTGATGATATACTAATTCACTTTGATTTTACTAAGAAAGAAACAATTCTTTTTCTTTTTCCTTGAGTACTACTCCCACTGTCCCTTATTTTTTGTCCCATTTGGCTTTTCACGGTCTTCAAGACGCGTGTTCAAACATATATATCTTAATTTCTATACGCATAAAAATTATAAAAGTTTGATATTAATAAAATATACAATAAGATGATTCTAACAAGACCGCACATGAATATATTATCACTTATAGATTATCGGGAATTTATGGTCAAAGTTTTATAAGTTTGACCCATAAAATTGCAATGGGGCAAAAAATAAGGGACGGAGGGAGTACATACTATAACCAAATAAATCCTTCAAAAATAAATATCTAGTGATCTAGCTAGTGCCTATTATATATACAATGGTCATACCAAAAATGAAATTTGTTCATTAACAAAAAGCTAAATGTTCATAATAACTTAAATTTGTGATTGAGCATTGCCATTTTAAATAATTGTCAATTTTAAATCTTCACCTGATTGAAAAAGAAATCGCAATTAAGCTCTCATCATCCTTAAATAATTTTTACATGTGACATTTTGTTCATTTTTATTTTGATACATGTTCATTTTTAATATAGATAACTATTTATTCATAAATAGTAACACATATGTACGTTTATGGACTAATGATTCCTAAAAAAAATATTGTTCAAGCATTAATGATACATCTTTATAACTGTCATTAGAACAAACAAATACTTTCATTTGTATTGAATAATCTATTCGCCTCCTACTCTTCCCAACTCTAATTCCAAATCCTTTTCTATATACATATTATTTATAAATTTCATAAGCTTTTGCTTCAAATTTAAACTTTTTTAATTTCCTACTAACTCAGACTGCTGACTCATTCTTCAAAAGCAACATCATCCTTTTTTCCACTGCATAAAATACAAATGAACGATGTAATAAATGAACAAAAGCAGAAACAAAAATGTTCAATTACAAAAATACATTTGATCAGCAAAAATATGTTAAAAGCACAACTATATATAAATGATTATTTATTATTATACAAGTGAACATAATTCTAATACAACAAAAATAACAAATAATAAAATATGTTCACTAATAAAAATGTATATGCATAACAACAAAACAACGTTACTCATTAAAATGCAAATGTACAACATATATATTCGAATACAACAAAAATAAAATATAATGTATCATAGAACACATATACAAAAGATAAATGAGCATTTATTATTACAAAATTGAGCATAATAAAAATAATAATAAAAACTATGAAAAATCGTAAACTATCAATAATAACAACAATAATTGTTCATATATGACACACATAACTGGAAAAATCAATCAAATAGTAAAATTGAAATTAAATATGAGCAATAACTGGAAAAAACAATCAAATTCTAAACAACAAACAAATTTTTTCATAAAAAATGATTCATCTCTTTGCCTCTTACTCTTTCCATTTCGAATTTCAAAACTTTCAAATTTGTATATGGTAATTATAGCTTCAATTAATATTTTTATATAAACATCTATTACTACCTTCAAAACTTTTCAATAACAAGTACAAAAATTATAACTTTTATACATTTTTCATCTATAATAATGCTCCGTAATTAAATGTTCAATTATAAATAATTGTATGTTCATTTACATCTATGAAAAATATATGTTCATTTTTGGAATATCATATGTTCAATTATAAAATTATACGAGTATACTCTTTATAAAATATTAAATAATTATGCATTTATCAATGGTGGTTTAAACTTCATTCTTTACCATTTTCTTTCTCCTTCTCAATCAATTTGCATTTGCCTCCTTTAATCCAACCTCAACTCCAACCAAAAGAACCAACTTTTTCTCATCGCCACTACCACAAAAATACTGACCACCGCCGCTGCCACAAAAAGCAATGTTATCTCACCTCCATCGCTGCCACAACAACATAACAACAACATAATAGCTCACATTGATGAACAATTGAAACTACAATTCCAATTCCAGATGAAAACACAACTTCACAATCATAATTAAAGAATCGAAATGAGAAAAAAAAAATAGATTAATGACGATGATAAAATCAAAGGAATGAGAAGAATAAAAATGTTAGGAGAGAGAAAATGGAAAAATTAATTGAAAGAGAAAGAAATTAAGGCTTTAAAATCATAAAAAAAAAAATTTAAAAAAATATAGAAAAAGAAAAGTTGAAAAAAGGAAAAAATATATAGTGAACCAGCTTAAAATGACATAAATTTGGTTGTTGAGGAAGGGATGTAATGAGGTGAAGTGTAGGGAGATACGGTGAAGAGGAGGTGTAGGCAGTTGTACCAACAAGAGACTGTAGGATAAAATTTTGCCAAGTTGATCCCCAAATCTATTTCAGTAGAGGCCCAATAGGCCAATTTTTGATTGGATTAGTGGCCTTGAACGATGCAATTACAACTTACAAATTTAAGTTTATTTATTTATTTTTATTTTTTTTTTCGTAAATATTACTATATTTGTATCATTATCAATCCAAAATTTCATATTGTAATTTCTTTATGTATATTTAAGGAAAAGTATTGTTTGGTGAGATTTTTTTTTTTTTTTTTTTTTTTTTTTTTTTTTTTTTGAGCTGATTGTTTGGTGAGATCTTGTTAAATTCATCTTGATATATACTTTCATAAAACAATTTATTTAATAATTTTAACTTTTAAAAAATTAAAGCTATTTAATATTAAAAAATGTTATTGAGATGCCTAAGCCCCTCCCTTGTTGCATTGTTTGGTGAATAGATAAGTATAACTACAATATATCTATTGTTGGATACATACATATATGTATGTGATGTACCTTATAACTAGAAAACAACCACTTAACCTTTCAAGCCTCCAAATTTCAATAAAATATGACTAATACAATAACAAAATATGACCAATGCAGTAACATTTTACTCAATACGGAGTAATATTTACTTTTCGCACCCGAAATATTTTTGACACACCAAATATTGATTTTAGAATACCTCTATGTAAGAAGAGCATTGAAAATTGTGCTTTCACAATGAGTGTGCTATGATCAATTTTAGGTGTGCCTAAATCAGTTTTCCTTTTGAACATTAGTAGTAATACATACTCAATCGTACAAAAGTCAAAGTAAACAACCACCAAGAAATGTAGCTCATAAACTCTTGTAGAACATAACCTGCCCTCCAAGGGGACGTTAATTATAAATTAATCTCGAAATAGCTCATGCTGATGACGGAAAAGATACTTAGTTCCGAAGGTGGAACGGTATACAACTACCAACAAAGGGAAATGAAGCCGGAGGTAAATGACACCGGTGAACCAAGCAAAGACGGCAACAATAATCCACACTGATTTGTAGGGCAAAAGGATAATAATTGACACGGTAAACACCAACAAGATTGCCAATATGGAGAAAAGAAGCAGAACCAGACCAACCATCAATTTTAACGATGATACTAAGAAGTCCTCTTCCGCATACGTTGAAGTCAAAATCGAAAGAAATGTTAAGATTGACGCAGTTGACGATAACAAGGAGAATGCATCTGATATAACAAACACCCAAAATAATTTCTCGTTACTTTGCTTGTTTGGTGGTTGAAAGATTGCTTGGAAGACTATGGTTGCGACTAGAGCCGCGACAACCATACATGAAGCGGAGGTCTTCCGCATCCAATTCTCCCCATCTTTTCGTAGTTGTTCGTGTTCTCTGTTGAACATCTCTCGTGGCGTTTCCGTACTTTCCATTACTTCTGTGTCGCTTATTTGCGTTAATGTTGAATTTTCTGAATGAGCATACTGACGCGGTACTATACTTTCAACTGCCTGTCATTAAAAAAAATTGATTTTTACTACCTTTAAAAGGCATACATTTGATTTTATGTAGCTTGTTTAATTTTTATTTTATTTTACTACATTTAAAGCACCCAATCTTTTGATTTTGCAACTACTGATTTTTCTATTAGAGTTCCGTTAGTGGTCACTTTAAAGAAAATTTCTTAATTTGTGTGCCGAAAATTGTTCTGTTAATGTTTTGGGAATTATTTTAATGGGTCTAAATTGAGCTCGGAATTGCAAAAAAACAATAACGTAAATACCTAATTTTGTGTGTCAAGAAACGTCTCAATTTGCATGTCAATATATTTTAGTCGAGACAATTGTCGCTTAAGGTTTTGGGCATTTTAGTTATTAAGGGTCCATATCGAGCTTGAATTGGAAAAAAAAAAAAAAAAAAAAAAAAAAAAAAAAAAAAAAAAAAAAACTTAAATGTCTTGTGTTACGTGTTAATAATTATCTCATGCATTTCTTGACACATAAATCAAGACATTTAATTTTTATTTTCCCAATTTTGAGGTCAAATCTGGACAAATATAGGCCAAACCGGCAAAATGTCCAAAATTTTGATCAAACAATTTTTTACTACAAAAAATATAATGACATGCAAAGCGAGACAATTATGTACTAAAATTAGGAAGTCAAATAAAAGAGTAGTTTAGTAAAAAAATGGAAAATGAATCATCACCTGAAACCATAAGAGTTCTCGCTGCATTTGAAGAGCAGCACCCGAGGCTTTACCGAGTATTTCAGGCTCAGGTAGAGTGGCGGCTAAGTGTAGGATGTTGTTTCTATTAAAAGGATTCGTGTAAGCGGTTAGCAAATGCCTAATACCTTCAAGCTGGAAAATATGACTGAAGATCTTCTCTTGACGGTACTCAACAGCAGCATGAAATATGGTTCTACGCTGATGGTCTTTTTCCCATATTAGATCCGGGTAATGACGAATGAGGGTTGTCACGAACTCATAGTTCCCCATCCTTATCGCGACAAAGAGCAGTTCAGGTTGTGGAAACGATAACAACTCAGAGATTTTTTGATGATTTCTTGAACTTATCACTCTTCTCCAAAGGTTCTCAACCAGTTCATTTTTAAGGTGATCTTGGTGCTGCTTTCTCACTGTAACGTAAACATATATATACTCCTTCATATGTTAGTGAATTCGAATTTGATGGAGCAATTACAATATAATGCAAAATTGAGAGCGAGGTTTGAAAGCATACGTACGTGGAATCCAATCGTACTTGAGATAACTTCGGCTCTCTATGTGGGTTTTTCTTGCCAAGACATGCAATGGTGTTAGAGAATTTCCATTACGTCTAGTGGCTATTTCATCATCTTTATCTTTTTGTATGATCTTCCAAGCCACATCTGCATCAAGTGCATAATTCTATGCTTTTAATAAGTGCATAAATCTCATATCATCTCACAAAACTATGACATGTTCACCTTAACAAAATAAGATCATCACGATAAACAAAATAAGTTTAGATATATTTAGATAAGATCACGATCAAATAATAAGTTCAGATCAGATACCTCAGAACAAACTTACCATAAATATCTTTTTCAAGAGTAGCAATAAGTAGATCGGTTTGTTCATTCCTAGACAAATCATGAAAACAATGATCTAGGAGATGTTCGACCATCTTGTCATGGCCTTGTAAAACAGCAATTTGAATTGGTTTCATTCCACTTCCACCGGGGATGTTGAGCAGATTTGGTTTCAATCTCCGCATTTGGTGGACAATGTTAACCTTACCCGATGCAGCAGCCAAATACAAAGCTGTATTTCCTTCATTGTTAGGCAGCTCCAAATCCAATTTTTGGCCATGTAAATGGGCGTGTGTTAGTAATTGCTTAACAAACACATCACGCCCTGCCGCCGCTGCTATATGCAAAGCAGTATCTCCATTTCTTGAAATTTTTTCCTGGAAGCAATTCGGATGATTTTCATGTATTTTTTCAGCTGCCTTCCAGTCACCGCGGAGGCAAGCTTTTTGTAACCTTAGATGATATTCTTCGAAGAGTTGGCCAACATCTATTCACAGAGATATTTTTTCGTTATAGAAGGAGAATTAGAAAGGCATGTAATAGAAGGCGGTTTAGGATAATGGATACTCCCTCCATTTTTTCTAAATGTTACACTTTGTTTTCGATAAAATACTCCATTTAAATATTACGGAATATTACTCTTTCATTTCATGGTCCATGCTAAACTGCTACTTTTTTTTTTTGGTGCAAACGAGGGGCTAGGCCCCAAAGAAAAACAGAACAAATAAACTACGGGGAACAAAACGGGGGGAAAACTACACGTACAACATCATCATGAATAATATGGCCTAAGGCCAAAGGGGGAACTTGAACGAGTTCAATCCAAATTTCTTTAGAGATACCTTGGTTTGCTACTTTTTTTTTTTTTTTTTTTTTTTTTTTTTTTTTGGAGCTGATTGTTTGGTGAGATCTTGTTAAATTCATCTTGATATATACTTTTATAAAACGATTTATTTAATAATTTTAACTTTTAAAAAATTAAAGCTAATATTAAATATGGTAATTGAGATGCCAAGCCCCTCCCTTGTTGCATTGTTTGGTGAATAGATAAGTATAACTACAATATATCTATTTTGGATACATACATATATGTATGTGATGTACCTTATAGCTTGAAAACAACCACTTAACTAACCTTTCAACCCTCCAAATTTCAATAAAATATGACTAATACAATAACAAAATATGACTAGCAGTATCTCCATTTCTTGAAATTTTTTCCTGGAAGCAATTCGGATGATTTTCATATATTTTTTCACCTGCCTTCCAGTCACCGCGGAGGCAAGCTTTTTGTAACCTTAGATGATATTCTTCGAAGAGTTGGCCAACATATATTCACAGAGATATTTTTTAGTTATGGAAGGAGAATTAGAAAGGCATGTAATAGAAGGTGGTTTAGGATGATGGATACTCCCTCCAATTTTTCTAAATGTTACACTTTGTTTTCGGTAAAATACTCCATTTAAATATTATGGAATATTACTCTTTCATTTCATGGTCCATGCTATACTGCTACTTTTTTTTTTTTTTTTTTTTTTTTTGGTGCAAACGAGGGGCTAGGCCCCAAAGAAAAACAGAACAAATAAACTACGGGGAACGAAACGGGGGGAAAACTACACGTACAACATCATCATGAATAATATGGCCTAAGGCCAAAGGGGGGACTTGAACGAGTTCAATCCAATTTTCTTGAGAGGTACCTTGGTTTGCTGCTTTTTTTTTTTTTTTTTTGAGTTGATTGTTTGGTGAGATCTTGTTAAATTCATCTTGATATATACTTTTATAAAACAATTTATTTAATAATTTTAACTTTTAAAAAATTAAAGCTATTTAATATTAAAAATGTTAATTGAAATGCCTAAGCCCCTCCCTTGTTGCATTGTTTGGTGAATAGATAAGTATAACTACAATATATCTATTGTTTGATACATACATATATGTATGTGATGTACCTTATAACTTGAAAACAACCACTTAACCTTTCAACCCTCCAAATTTCAATACAATAACAAAATATAACCAATGCAGTAACCATTTACTTAATACGGAGTAATATTTACTTTTCGCACCGAAAATGTTTTTGACACACCAAATATAGATACCTTGGTTTGCTACTTTTTTTTTTTTTTTTTTTTTTAACTATTTCTCTCATTTGTATCCCTTATTTTTCATTAAAATATTAATGCAAACATATAATTCTGTAGATAATTTTTATAATACTCCAACTAATCTACTTACATCTTTTTTATACTAAAATTAAAAGTATGTGATGATCAAAGTGTAACATTTTCTTAAAGAAAAAAAAAAACCGAGGGAGTATGACTCCATGCCAACATCAAAATTTCCGTGGTGAAACCGATTGTAGTTGTACCATGCATTAATACACCTGTTGTACAATGGAAATTGCGTTTAAATCACAAATAATAGTCAAAGTGAATTAAATGAATAGTGCAAAAAAACAAAACGTTCATTTAATTAAACACGAAGGGAGTATATCATTATGCTCAAGATTCTCATTTCTAAAAGGTTAATATATCGAATTTTTCAAGTCGGTCATAAACTTGTAGCCAAGCGACAACTTTGTCCAAAAGTTACTGATCGAAGTTTACATCTCTATACTACTAGCCCTAGTTATGTACTCAACTAAGCTTTAATTTCTAAGTACAATTAAGTTACTCATCTAACTAAGTTTACAATTCACATGTATGTTCAAGTAACAAAACAGTTACGACGTACTCAACTAATTAAGTTTTCTAAGTCCAAACAGCTTATTAAAATTTCCACTGCGACTAGTTAGTTAAGCAAATCGATGTAGCTCTAGCTACCTGCTGATTACAGTGTACTAAACAGGGCAAGTACATGCTATGTCAGAGTTGCCAAAGTGAAGAGATTTTACTTACCAGACGAAGGATTCACATAAGGGAGTGGAATCCCAACTTCTAGATCAATCTGTTCAGGGGGCGCCATCGAAATGTACCTTGTATTTGAATTATTATTATTTTTCTTTCTTTAAAAAAAGCATATACTTATCTGAATAATGATATGTTTACTCATACATATATATAATAAAGGCTCAATGGGGCTTGGCCCTTATAGATTTCGGAAAAAAATTGAATACTTTATAGGCTTTCAACAGTCCGATAATAAGATAGTAAAGCTTTGGGAAATGTACCTTGTATCTGAATTATTATTTTTTTTTCTTTCTTTAGAATAAACATATACTTATCTGAATAATGATATGTTTACTCATACATATATAAAATAAAGGCTCAATGAGGCTTGGCCCTGATAGATTTCGGAAAAAAATTGAATATTTAAAGGCTTTATACAACAGTCCAATAGGCCCATAAAATACACTAACCGATTACTTCTCTATTTACCGGAAAATCAAATACTTCCTCCATTCTATTAATATTGTAACAAGGATGAAATTACGCATCCCAAATCATATTTTATATGCTAAATATCTATAATTGTGTAAGAGTGAAAATTATAGAAAGTTGATATTCTGAAAGTATTTTATGAGACGAATCCAACAAGTTTCCACATGATTATATTTTACTTAACGTATAAATCATATTATATGGTCAAACAAAAATAATAAATAATGCAAAAAGTCTATTATTATAATATTAATAAAACGGAGAAAGTATATAATTACTATAACTGCCCAATTAGCCAATTTCCAACAATTACTGACAAGTGACAACCCACTACCCACTACCCCTCTCTTTCACAATTTCCAACAAAACAAAACCCCTCTCTTTTGACATCAATTTAATAATTAAAGTATGTGCACTTTCTCCAAGGGAGCACAATTAAAAGGATAACACAAACATCAGTACTTTTCCGTTTAATTTTTTTTTTACTGTTACATTAATGGTATTTTTTTTTTTCCTTGTATTTCTGCGTTATTGAATTTGTAAATAACTTTCATATGATTATTTTATTATATTCTTGTTATAGACATAAAATTATACTCCCTCAGTCAATAATTATCTGCATCAAAGGACATATTTGCGGACTCCTAGGTAAAACTTGAGTTTAATTAAGTTTGGGTGGGTTTAATTAAGTGGGGAAAAAAGAGGGACATAAGTGGTGTCTTATTTTTTTATTTTTGGGTGGGTTAAAGTAAGTGGGAAAAAAGGTGGAAAATTAAGGGGCCCCTTTTATGAGTGGGAAAAAGGTGAAAAAGTGAGTGTAATTAAAAGATATTAAACAAAGTTTAAAAATAAATGTAAGGGTAAGGTGGTCTTTTTACTCTTTAAAATTTATTAAAAGAGGAAAGAAAAAAATTTGTTGCACATTGTAAAGAGCATCCATTTATGACAAATGTTGCACATAATTGTTGGCGAAGAGAGTATTAGAATTTTTTAGCCCCCGAAAGAAAAACTTTCAAGATCCACCGCTGAACATACATGTTACTGCGAAAGCTCGACGAAGTATACCAGCCAGGCGTCCATGTTGTTTATCAGCTTATGTAGAAGACTATGATTGAGTGCACATAATTAACTAACCATTTTATGTTATAATCTCTTTTTTGGTCTTTGTTTACGGTTTCCAAAATTCCATTCCAAGAGCGTGAAGGTCATTTTGAACAAAAAGTAGAATGCTTTTGAACCTTTTTTCATACAAAATTGAGAAATATATAAAGCATCACAAAAGTAGGTAGAGCACAAATGGCAAAACTACGAGATGATAAGCTAAGCATGGGTTTATTATATTAATATTATTACTAGTAATTAGTAAAAAGCTTTCCCTTAAGGTAACATTCTTTAAGGAGGGGTTAACCAAATCTTGTACTCTTGCTCTTGTTGCAATATATCCACTTTCCCCCCACCATCATAGTGTTGGAATATTTGTTTCAAATTGTTAGTGGTTAGTTAACTTCTAATGTATATGAATAATATAATCTAGTGAGTAATTAGTTTTTATTAGGCCCTGTTCAATTCACATTAAAAAAAACAATATTCAGTAAAATTAATTTCTATTTAGTAAAAATAAGTCCAATTTAGCAAAAATGATTTGAAAAAATAATTAACAGGAAAAGTCCCAACTATTAGCATACTTCTTTAAAAGGGTTAAACTATTGATTAATTCATAACAGTCCCAACTATCATGGGTTCTTCCCAAAATGGTCCTTGACCTGTTTATGACCGGTTTAACCGGTAAATAATACCACATGTCATGAATCAATTGGTTGATGTTTTAATTTTTTTTTTTTTTTTTTTTTTTTTTTTTTAAAAAAAAAAAAAAAAAAAAAAAAAACCTTCCTTTCCCAAAAAAAAAAAAAAAAACTTCTCCTCCTATTCCACCTACTTGACAGTTGACACTTCCCTATGGCCACCAAGCCATCAATCTCAGCCACCGCACCGACAACCGCACATGGACGGATGGACCCCTAACCACCTGCTGTTGCAACACCGCTCCTCTTCCATCAGAACCTAAACTAGTCACGACTATCGAGTATCGACCACTCTAAAAGCATTCATCCTCTTCCTAAATCCAGCAACGATTGTCGACCACCCTATACACCGGCCACCTTCTTACTTTTTCTACTCTTCCTCTCTTATTCTCAATTCCTCTTTCTTGTTCTCCCTCGCGCCCTTTTATCCTCATTGAACCCTAAATTCGGCCACCATAAAGAGGGTTAGTGTTTGGATTTAGGCACAGTGGGAACGTGGGCGGTGGTGAGCAGGGACAGGCGGGCAATTGTGTGAGCAGAGGGCAGATGGGCGGGGGCTGATAGCCGGTGTTTAGTGGTTGGACTGTTGGAGATGGTGGTGACAAGGGGGCTAGGTGCATGGAGAAAGAAGGGATTAATTAATTAATTTTTGTAAAAATGAATGGGCCAGCAAAATTGCAACATGTGGCAGTGTTTACCAGTTTACCCGGTCAAAACAGGTCAAGGACCATTTTTGGAAGAACCTGTGATAGTTGGGACTGTTGTGGATTAATCAATTGTTTGACCCTTTTAAAGAAGAATGCTAATAGTTTAGACCTTTCTTGTTAATTTTTTCAAATAATTTCAGTTCAGTAAAAATAGTTTTAATTCAATAAAAATAATTTCAGTTCAGTAAAAATAATTTAGTTCAGTAAAAATAATTTCAGTTCATCAAAAATAAGGTGAAGTGAACAGAACCTTAATGGAGTCATAACAATAGTGAATTTAGTGGGTTAACGTTAGACATGCTCTAATGTTCATGAAATTATGTTCCTAACTTTTAGCTTAGTTATGCAATATATACACGTTACGTTAATTGAATACAAAATTGCATTACTCTTTCCCCTATCTCATCTCAATATTTATAATTTCAACACATAGTATAGAATAGATTTTACTGTACAAAATTTATTTAAATCGAAATTTGATAGCAAAAGATAGCTAGGTTAAACAATTTTATTTGGAGAATTGTACTATTGATTGCTTAATTCAATTTTATTAGGTGAATCGTACTATTGATAGATGACCTACTAGTATGGGTAGAGTATGCTTCTTATTGGGCTGTAGTACATGGGCCAATTTGTATGGCGTTTTGGATTTGCGGAAGGATTTATATTGGCTCAAGTGGCAAGAAATCCTTAGCAAAGCTTACTGCATGAAAATTCTAATGTAGTTTTCTGACTTTTGACTACCATAATTTTTGAAAATAGACGGTTGAGATTATTTGTTTTTTGATTTATTTTTAATTAATAATTTTAATTAAATATCATGTTTTAATTATTAGATATATATTTTTTATTTCCAGAATTTCAAAAATATTAAAAAATAATTTCTACAAGATAAAAATATATTTAAAATAATTAAAAAATTATTTTTTATTAAAATTACTAATTAAAAATAAATCAAAAAAACAAATAATCTCAGCTGCCCATTTTAAAAAAAATTGTGGTAGTCAAAAGTCATAAAACTACATTAGAATCATCTCTTACTGCAAGCCTACAACTGGATGGCAGCATTCGATATTTTTGTTACATAGTCAAAGTTCAACTCGTAGTATTGAGATTAACCCAAGAACATTTCTATTAGTGAAATTTATCTGTTACATTTAAAAATTTGAACATCTATTATTTACAGTTAATATAGAAATAGTGTAAAATGATCAATATGATGCAATTATTGCAAAACAAAGTATTTATTACAATAATTATTATATTACATATATACACATACATTGAGTATGTCACTTTAAGCTTTCCTCGCTCACCATTAAAAGTAAAGTAGATACATAACATATGTCACTCGCACGCTCATAGAGTTTACCTATAAATTAAATTTTACATATGTATATTACTGAGTAGACTCTGTAAACTATGTTATATGACATGAAATTATATCAACTTAGAAAATAAAACAAAGTATATAATTATTAAGTAGCATGTTATTTACGAGCCTTCTGATTAACTCGGCAACATGAGATAATCGAGACTGGTGTGGGTGGTGTAGACTTAAGAGCCTTGAGAATGCGGTGTGTTACATGTCCATTGATATCACTATTTTCTTTCACAATACGCCCAATAGCCTCATGTTCTCTAGCCAACTCATTACATTCTTCTTCCTTTGTTTCGGAGGAGGTTATGATGATTGATGCTTCGGCGGTCAGGAAGACTACGCCTGCACCCTTAGCCAGATTCCCTTGGTCCAATCCCGGGTCAATCTTCGGAGGCTTGTTGTTGTTCACGGCACATTTGATCATGAGATTCTTGCCCATATCGCCACCATACTTTTCGATGCTGGAGCCATTGTACACTTGATTGTTTAGCAACTCAAAGAAGTGATCTTTGTTATTGAATAGTTGCACTATGAAGTTCTCAGGATCCGATTTCCCAATTTGGAATTTGATCGCCACGTCAGGGATTTCACCTATATTAGTCATGACCCATGATCATCATATGAACTCAAATTAGCCTAATTATCAGCAAGAAATTTATCAACGTTATCACAAATTACAAGTACTAAAACTTTATAACTAACTTTTCTAAGACGTATAACTCTATTTTATATGCAACATATGCTTCAAAATATGTAACATTTCTTATTTTGTGTTTAGAGAGCTACAAGGATGGGTGATGAATCGATCCAAGAATTACCTGAAACCGAGAGAAAAGTTATAACCAATTAAGCTATCTCTCATTCTCAAATATCAAACATATGTAAACATTAAAATAAAACAATCTGGCCTTCTAATGTTAATGTATCAATCATTTTATGTTTTCGTCCTTTCACAATTAAAAATCATGTTGTTAGGAAATAAACTAAAACTTATCAAATACCAACGAGATTTGTTGTGGAAAAAGGTATGAC